AGTTTTGAAGTTACAGAATCTGAATGCCACCAATAGTTATATTATGCAATGTTGAGTTAATGTTTTTTTTAAGGGGATGCTAGAGTGACAGCCGAACTTAATCGAAATCAATAAAATCGACTTTGTATCGTTTGCTTACGCTCTCTGGAGCTGGCTCAGGCGATTACCATCCTTGATGAAAATGTAAAGTTTGTCGAAGCGTCAAAGAAGTGTGAACAAAGAATTTTAACGCTTCTTAAATACTTCATTGACTTTTCATTGACTCTTAGTGGTTTTGAATATTCATACACGCTCCACGAACTCTTCCCAAACGCTCCGTAAAGTGTGCCCAAAATACATTTGTCATATTTCGCACACATTAAAATTTTTTTTTTCATTAACGTTTCTCATACACTTCTCAACACTCTGCAAAGAATGCATGGAGCGTACTGATACTTCCTAAACACTTCATTTATTAGTACTTCGTCTACGCTTCCTAAACGGTTGACAAAAAGTACGGAACATTCAAATACGCTTTGTGTACGTTTCCAGGGGTGCGTTCCGTTTTTTGCCTGATGCGCATAGAAGCATAGAAGTTTGTTCCGTTTCTCTTCATGCACACTCGCTGCATGCATGATTCAATCTACCGCCAATTGCATGACCCCGTCTCTTCCGGTGCATGAGACCGCATGAAGTGCCTCACCTCTCGAGCTGAGGCAGTTCATGCAGTTTATGCATTCAATATATTTTAGCGCGAAACTGAAATCATGGGTGGTTCGGCTGGGGCGAGTGTACTCAAAATCATGTAAGGGTTAAAGATATGTAAGTAGGGTGCTCAGAATACCCCAAAATTTTTTTAATTTAACATTTCATACATATATAGTATATATAGTATAATACTCTGGTATTATCGAAAAATTATGCGTATACTGATATTATGAAAATTTCAATTGAATACCGATATTTAACGTCTAATACTGGTATTTGGATTTCTGTTTTGCGAATACCGCTATAGAATATCGATTTTTAATCCTTAATTTATATAATGAAAAATTAATATATTGATATATTACCGCTATTTTTCATATTGTTTTAAATTCCTGAATATAAAATAGTAGATTATGATAGGTTAAGTTGAGAGGTTAAGTTTACATTAATCATATCCTTACAAAATAGGTAGAGGAAAGTAAAAATAACAGACTTTAAGGATGTTTTGTATGTATAATTGTAGCAAAAAATGTCTGAAATTTGATTTTGATGAATATATTTTCATATGATTTGAATAATAAAGATTGTATACAGAATCTTATTATTTTCTTATAATTAAAATGCAGAAATACTTTTGAATTTCTATTGCTAATTATTTCTGAAAAATATGAAAATTTTTTGACAGTGACTCAAATCTAACCTTATCTATTATTATATAAATCTTTATATTTTAACTCTCTCTTATAACTTCAAATTACTTCACAGTGGATCGATTTCGAATTTTGTTATAAATATCTGAATATATATAAAATAATCTGTAAAATTTTTGTTAAATTTTTAATATTTTAGAAATAGTTATTAAATATTCTTTTTGGTAAAACGTTTTATTTTTCTTTTCCTGCAGAATAAGATTGTAAGTGTTACTCGAAAAATATAAATCTTCTTTTGTCAAAAAAGAAGATGTAACAGTAATTATTGAATGTATTTGTAATTCAGTCAATTTTAAATTGTCGTCCATGTTCACTGCATAAATTCACTGCGAATCCGTTACTAAATCAATTACAATTATTACTCCGCATGGAGTGTATTGGAGAAACGGAATGTATCCTGCATTCTATGCCATGCACTAAATACTCATGCAAGAAACGGAACGCACCCCTAAACTGCTAACTTTTTAGGACAAGTTTATGTGAAATATAATATATAGATCCTGAAATTGTATGGTAGTTCAGCGCATGTGTCACGAATGTCGAATGAAAAGAATGCAATAAGGCTGTGTTTTGCATTAATTGTTCATGCTATAACCTTATGAAAGTGATGTGATCTCATAGCGAAAAATATTGTTTCTTTTGAAAGAGAAAAAATTCAAGTAAAAAGGTAGGCATGCGTATAATGTTACATCAAAATTGAAGGCCTCTTTTTCAAACAAATTAGCAGTCTAGTAGTATATAATATATAGAAGTTTGTGGACCAATCGCAGACTATATTTACACGACATGCTTAATCGGGTTAATAAGATTCGTAGTTATGAAATTGGCTAATCATAGCTATTCCTCGAAAGAATGGAATGATTGTGATTGGCCAGTTTTATAATTACAGATGTTATTAAACCCGATTAAGGATGCTGTGTAAAGGCTTGTGTCCATGATGCTAGAAATCAGTCTGAGATCTCAATCCGAGACAAAATTACCAGACACTCTCATCAGATAACTTGGATGAAAATGTCATATAGAAATCTCGAAAGTCAGTATCCACAATGTTAGAACTCGGTCCAAGCTCTGAGAGCCAAGAAAAAATTACTAAACCGATATAGGCAATTCTAATGAAAATTGTGTCTAGACACAAGACATTTTAAAGCAAAAATGCATCATGTCCTATTTTTCCATAGTAATTTTTGATGCTGACAGAATATTAGAGTGGTAACTAACATAGAAGTATTTTATTCGTTCGATAAAAATATTTAACAAATATTTGTAAGTACAAAATAAAAATATTGAATATATTTAAATAAAAAGGTTAATTATTAATATTTGTTCATAAATTTTTTATAAGGAAAATGCATTAATGTAACTGCACTGTTTAATTGGAAGGTTAACTTACACACACACACACACACACACACACACACACACACACACACACACACACACACACAC